CACGACCAGGGCATGTACTGCCTCGAAGATAGTGCCGATAACCGCGACTACGTGCTACTCATCATCTATGTAGACGATCTGCTCTACATTGGCTCCACCACCTCCATCACCGTCTGGTTCGAAGGGGAGCTGGAGCTCCAAATAACTATCACGGTGTCGCCGACCGTGACGCAGTATCGTGGCCTCAACATCACCGACGGCTTGGACACAATCCACCTATCGGCTTCAAAGTATGCCGAGAACATCTCCCGACAATTCGGTCTCTCTCTGATGCCCATCCCTACTCCATACCTCTGCGCGCCGCCAACTCCCGCACCGTCCGCCTCGCTACTCGCATCGGTCGGAATCCACGAATACCAGCAAAACCTGGGCTATCTGCTATTTGCTGCTGTCACTTGCCGTCCCGATCTCTCCTACGCCACCTGTCAGCTCGCCACGTACCTTAAACGACTTGAAGGGGGGAATCTGCTGGAACTCGATCGTGCGCTCCATTACCTTTTTTCGACCCCGACGATTGGCCTGATCTACCACAAGAATGCCACTACCAAGACGGAGCTTATCAGCTATGTCGACTCCGACCACGCCGGCGACGAGGAAAACAAGCGCTCTCGCACCGGCTACGTGTATCGCCTGGAGCCTATCGGCACTATCTCCTGGCACTCGGGAAAAAAAGAATTCATCGCCATCTCATCTGCTGAAGCTGAATATATCGACCTCTGCACAGCCACAACGGAAGGACTTTACCAACGCGAACTGCTTGAAGAAGCGAAGATTGCCGAGTTACCAAGCTTCTCCCTCTTCTGCGACAACCAATCAGCGATTAGAATCGCCAACAAAAACGGGTTCGCGAACAGGACGAAGCACATCTCACTTCGCTTCTTCTTCGTGAAGGATGAGATCGAGCAGGGATGTCACCGATTGGCCTACTGCCCCACCACCAAAATGGCAGCCGACTACTTGACCAAGAAGCTGATGAAGTCAAAGTTCCAGTAATGCATGCTGCTGACTGGACTGCAACACGTCAGCAACCTCGACCACATCCACACTCCATAAATGAAGGAGGGTGTTGGAAATGATAAAATGACTTAAGCTGCTACATTACTTCCGATGGTTAACGCAGGTTGACAACACCTCGCAGAGGTTACGAAAGGGCAACGGCCGCAGATCGTTGACTATGCAACCCAATAGTCGTCAGCAAGGACAAATAAGCGTCCGCCAGAAAGCTGCTATCTGCTGCTGCCAGCCAGCACGCCGCTGGCTCGCCAGCCCGCAGTCCCCAGCAGCCGCCAGCCAGCTTTCCGCTGGCTTAGCAGCCAGCCGCTGCCAGCAGCCGCCAGCCAGCTAGCTGCTAGCTTGCTAGCCTGCAGCCACCAGCAGCTGACAGCCAGCTCGCCACTGGCTCGCCAGCCAGCCGCCGCCAGCAGCCAGCAGCTAGCTAGACGCTAGCTTGCTAGCCCGCTGCTGCCAGCCAGCTCATCACTGGCTCGCTAGCCAGCAGCCGCCAGCAGCAACCAGCCAGCTCGCCGCCGGCTCACTCGCCAGCAGCCGCTAGTAGCCGCCAGCCAGCTCGCCATTGGCTTGCCAGGCAACGCGCGCTCGCCATTGGCTTGCTAGCCAACGTGCCAGCCAGCTCGCCGCCGGCTCGCCGCAACCACTGTAGCTACCGCTGCCGCTGCTGCTGCTGCTGCAGGCCTGCCGCCTGCTGCTACCACTTGTCCCTCATTGCTGCCGCCTGCTCCTACTGCCTACCACTGGCCGCCTGCCACCTTGCTAGCTGCCTTTCAGCTCAGCCCTCCCACGAGTCTCCTCCTTGTTTCTAGAGTTTCTCGCCGGCTTCCCTCTCGGCATGACGATCTCGTCTGGGTCTGTCTCTCGGCTGGACGCGGTAGGTCGGGCGCTCGACTTCGCTCTCGGACTTCTCGCGAGACAGCACATGGAATGCAAGCTCCTGGAGGCCCACATTACTATTGAGCTCATTGCCCACCTCCACGCCCTCAAGGTACGCTACCAGGCTGCCTTCCCCTAGCCGCAGCCACCTCAGCGGCCAAAGCATCCGCCAGCAGCAGCAACAGCAATGGCAGCCACCGCGGTATGGTCGTATGGGTGTTGGGCACAATGGAGGCCCAGTAGGTTGGTCCCTGAGGCGATCAGGGCCCAGTAGGTTGCCCTGGGGCCTGCGTGGTTCCTCTAGAGGCCCGGGGGCTTGGGGGTTTGGGGGTCTAGGTCCCGCTGCTGTGTGTAGTCTAAGAGCCTCTACTACCTATCGACTAGGCTCCCGACTTCCCCCTGCTGCGGCAGCCCTCTCCTCTGCACTAGACTCCGGCGCGTCCCACTGCTTCTTCTGAGACTGCACTGCACTCTCACTTCCTGCACCGGTACTGGTCTCCCTAGCTGACTCGCCTCCCATAGTAGTCGCTCGCAATACCACCGCTCACCCTTGTCTGGCCGTCCCGTCTGGCTCCCTTACCGGCTTGCATATCCCCACGTTTTCCAGGAACTTGGTTGGTGTCAGCCATATCTAGGACCTCAAGTTAGGATTAAGGACAGAGTCTAGGTGAACTTAGGAGCTAGAATTACTCAAAATATAAATCCGAAATTCTGGACAGAAAAGTCGTCTTCACAAGAACCGACGTCGACAAACAATTAGCTGTTGGAATGTCGCGAAAATAGGATATGTTGTAGCTTGTAATCTTAGCTACCGTTCTCAATTTGAATCACGTCGATTGATGGAGTATTCGCGACGCTATGTCTTTTGACGCACTGGGGGGTAAGCTGTAGGAGGAGAACTTAACTCAATCTCAAAAGTTTAATCAAAGTTCAAGAAATCTCACAAGGAATTTGAGGAGCAAGAGAAAGGTTGGGATAGAAGAGAGGGATGAGAGGGAATGTCCTAAGAGAGTCCCCAACCAAGGAAACCCCATAAGCACAAAGATTCCCCCCCTATAGGAACCCCAACTTTGACATTTGTCCCTTCCCAACCAATCCATCCAAGTTGGCCACCCTTGCCAAGCTAGCTTGGTTGTTCCCAACCAATTTGCAGCTGTTACAGTAGAGTGACAAATTTCCCCAACCCCAAAGGTCCCAACTCCATATAGAGTCACCCCACAACTTCACTTTGTAACCGCCGCAATTGTAACGCAAGCTCATGAACTTTGAATCTTCATAGCTTTCGCGTTCTTGCTCCGATTGAAGCGATTCTTGTTGCGTCGGAAAGATCTTCTCAAGATCTATCATCACAAATACCTGCTCAGACATAATAACACAAAATACATTCACAAACTCCAGAAATTCTTTCACACATAGTCAAACCATACATGCGAATTGAAACAAGGGATGGGAGGCAGACAAAATGTGATAGCATATGATGACATCACACAACACCTCGGCATCACCACCACGTTCCCTGGTCGTGAGCGGTATGCAGCTTGCACAGATGCTGCCACGGGCGCCCATCTTGCCACCTTTGATCATGACCTTACGTCTGGTCTCTTCACACTGCACACAGACTCCCCCGAGGTAGCGCGTCCACCCAGGTTGCCAGGTCCTGCTTCTGTTGCTCCCTCACCCACCCGGCAGACCTGTGGCACTACCGCTTAGGTCACCCTGCACTCCCGTGTCTGAGTCACATGGCACACCACCGTCTAGTCACTGGTCTCCCTGCGTCGCTCCCTGCCCTCCCCGCCTTGCTAGCGCCCGCGTGTACCTCATGCGCCAAGGGCCAGCAGCGCTCCGCCCCTTACTCCTCCTCGTTTCCTCCGACTGCTGCTCCCCTATAGATTTAGCACATGGACGTCTGGGGCCTCGCCCTGGTCTGGGGCCTCGCCTTGGTCTGGGGGCCTCGCGGGGAGCGCTACTTTTAGTGGTCGTTGACGACTTCACGCGGTTCACCACAGATTTTCCTTTAGAGCGGAAGGTCGACATGCCTAACGCCTTACTTCTGTGGCTCCGTATTGCATGCACCCAGTTCCACCTGCGTATGCTTCGTCTTCACTCCGACCATGGTGACGAGTTTGCCTCCGGTCGTCTAGGTCAGTTATGTCGTGTGAGGGCATCACCCAGACGTTCACCCTTCCGGACTCGCCACAGCAGAATGGGGTTGCTGAGTGATGCATCGGCTTGGTCATGGAGGTGGCCCGCACTTCCATCCTCCATGCCAGTATGCCCCATTTTCTGTGTCCGTTCGCAATGCGGTACGTGGCTCACAAGCTTAACCCGTGATCTCACTCCTCGCAACAGGTTTTCCCGACCCTTCTCTAGACTGCGTCCCCCGGTGACGAGTCGTTGTTCCACGTCTGGGGCTGCCTGGCTCACGTACGCGCCCCCTGAGCGGACAAGCTCTCTGCCCGCACTATCCATAGCGTCTTCCTTGGTTTCCCGCTCGACGCTCATGTATGGCTATTCTATCATACTGAACAGCACCACTTCTTTCACTCTCATAAAGTTATGTTCTACGAGTCCGTCTCCTTCTACGCCCGCTTTCATCACTGTGGCGGTAATGCTCCTCCTCTGCATCTCTTCCTTGCCCCTCCTCCACCTGCCGCTCCCCTTCCATCCCGCTCGGCCCTGTCTGTGTTAGTTTTAAGGACGGAGTCTAGGTGAACTTAGGAGCTAGAATTACTCAAAATATAAATCCGAAATTCTGGACAGAAAAGTCGTCTTCACAAGAAACGACGTCGACAAAAAACTAGCCGTTGGAATGTCGCGAAACTTGGATATATTGTAACTCTTAATCTCAGCTACCGTTCCCAATTTGAATCACGTTCATTGACGAAGTATTCGCGACGCTATGGCTTTCGACGCATTAGGGGGTAAGCTGTAGGAGGAGAACTTAACTCAATCTCAAAAGTTCAAACAAAGTTCAAGAAATCTCACAAGGAATTTGAGGAGCAAGAGAAAGGTTGGGATAGGAATAGAGGGACAAGAGGGAAGGTCCCAAGAGAGTCCCCAACCAAGGAAACCCCATACACACAAAGATTCCCTCCCTATAGGAACCCCAACTTTGACATTTGTCCCTTCCCAACCAATCCATCCAAGTTGGCCACCCTTGCCGACCTAGCTTGGTTGTTCCCAACCAATTTGCAGCTGTTACAGTAGAGTGACAAATTTCCCCAACCCCCAAAGGTCCCAACTCCATATAAAGTCACCCCACAACTTCACTTTGTAACCGCCGCAATTGTAACACAAGCTCATGAACTTTGAATCTTCATAGCTTTCGCGTTCTTGCTCCGATTGAAGCGATTCTTGTTGCGTCGGAAAGATCTTCTCAAGATCTATCATCACAAATACCTGCTCAAACAAAAATAACACAAAACACGTTCCCCAACTCCAGAACACACCACACAAATTCTTTCACACGTTCAAACCACACATGCGAATTGAAAACATGAAATGGGAGGCAGACAGAATGTGATAGCATATGATGACATCACACAACAATCTCCCCCTCTGGCTGCCAACCATCATCCACCATACCAACATCTCAAGCATGCATACTCAATGCACACTCATCCCAGCAAGCTTCATGCCCTTCCAATGATCCGCCTCCGCCAGACGCTTGGTGAAAATATCCGCTGCCTGCTGATGGGTCTTCACTATCTCCAGCCGCACCTCCTTATCAAGGAGTCTCCTCACCCAGTGCGACTTAGGCCTTATGTGTTTTGTCAGCCCATGCAGACAAGCATTCTTGGCGAGCTTCACAGCAGACTCATTGTCACAGAACACAACTGTCGGCTCCTCCTGACCAACTCCCAACTCCTCCAACAAGCGCCTCAGCCACACCACTTCCTTGGCCCCATGGTGTAAGGCCATGTACTCAGTCTCACATGAAGACAATCCCACCTCATTCTGCTTCTTGCTGCACCAGCTCACAGCACCACCTCCTAGCAAGCACACATAACCCCCAATGCTGGTACCATCCACTTTCACTGAGTTGAAGCTAGTGTCAGTATAGCAACTCAAGAGCATCTCTCCACTCTTCACATCTGCAGCACCTCTCTGCAACCGCTGCCTCACTCCACTGTACTCCAATCCCACTGATGCCGTAGCACTCACATAACGGACCAACCTCTTGGCCGCTTCCAGCTGCTCATGACTAGGGCGTGAGACCACACTAGCCAACCGTGATGTAGCAAATGCAATGTCAGGCCGTGTATGATTTGCAGCATAATTCAGCGACCCAACCATCGAATGAAAACAGCTTCCTGTCACTATCACCCACTACCTCCTCATCAGCACATGGCTCCACTGTAAACCCCGAAGGTAGTGGTGTTGCTGGCTTTCCCCCATCTTGCAGCCCATACTTCTCAGCCAGCCTCTCACAGTACTTCCTCTGATGCAACCTCAGCACACCCTTCTCCACATCTCTCTCCACATGCATCCCCAGGTAGTACTTCACCTCACCCATCTTGGAACACTTGAACTGCATCTCCAGCATCTGCTCTACGCTGTCCAACAAAGCAGTTGATGCAGAAAAGAGAAGGATATCATCCACGTACACCAAGAGCATGAGGATTTCATCCTTCTCCTGCAGCAGGAACAGGCTGGGGTCAAACTCACTCTTCTTGAAACCCCCAGCCAGCAGCGCCTCCTCCAACTTGTGATACCATGCACGAGGCGCCTGCTTAAGGCCATAGATGGCCTTCTTCAGCCTGCAGACCCTGCCGCTCCCATCATCCAGCCCCTCTGGCTGCTTCATGTACACCTCCTCCAGAATGATCCCATTCAGAAAGGCAGTCACAATGTCCATCTGCCGTATCTTCCATCCCAGGAGTGCAGCTATCGCCAACAGCACCCTCAATGTTGTTCCTTTCCCCACAGGAGCAAACACCTCATTATAGTCCTTCCCCTTTGTCTGCTGAAACCCCCGTGCCACAAGCCTAGACTTGTAGCGGGTCAGCTCCCCTTCAGGTCCATACTTGTGCCTGTAGATCATCTTGGAAGTGATTGCCTTCTTCCCAGGAGGCAAGTCACACAGGTCCCATGTCTCGTTCTCAATCAGGGACCCGAACTCCTCATCCTCACTAGCCTTCCACTTCTCCCCATTTGGTCCATTCAAGGCCTCCTCTCGAGTCTTGGGCTCAGGGATTGGTGCCCAGTAGCAGTGAGCGATCTCATCTTCCTCAATCTGCTCAACCACACTCCCAGCCTGCACCACATTCGGCTTGCCTCTTCCCCCTTAGGTCAGCCTCACCGGAGGGCGCACATCCCTCCTAGGTCGCTCAAGCGGGTGTGGAACTCGAGGTGGAGACTCATGCTGCTGCTGCTCCACTTCAGCTGCTCCCCCTTCCTCAGTCACCCCCGACATCTCCTCCTCAGACACTGCAACCTCCACCTGTCTTGAAGGCCGCTGCACCTCATCTGCCTCCACAATGAGTGGTGTAGATGGAAGCTTCTGTTGCTGCTGCTTCCATTCCTTGTAGTACAGGGACTCAAGAAACTTCACATCCCTTGATACAGTCAGCTTCTGGGTGGTCAAGTCCCACAGCAGCCACCCCTTGTGATCCTTTGCAATCCCCAAGTGCACACCCCAACTTCCAGAAGCCTCCAACTTCCCCCTTTTCTCCTTAGGCACATGAAACACCACCATGCACCCAAATGCCCTCAGCATGTTCACAGCTGGAGCACTCCCATACCACTTGGTATATGGGATCCACTCCTTATCCCCAACTGTAGCCAGCACCCTATTCTTCACAAGGGCGACCTGCCTCAGTGCAGACACCCAAAACGGATCAGGCAGCCCTGCACGCCCAAGGAGAGTGCGTGCCCCCTCCTGCAGGGTCCTGTTGAACCTCTCAGCCACGCCATTTTGCTGCGGGTTGTAGGGCACTGTCCGTTGATGCTGGATCCCCTTCCTCTTCAACTCCCCCTCAAAATCAGCTCCAATGAACTCCCCACCATTGTCACTGCGGATCACCTTCACCTTGTGTCCGCATTCCCTCTGAGCTCTAGGCATCCACTCCTTAAGGACAGCTGGTGCCACCTCCCCCTTGCTCTTCAAAGGGTAAACCCACACTGCCCGAGTGTGGTCATCCACAATTGTCAAGAAATAGCGGCTGCCTGAAAGGGAAGGGGCTCTTGTGGGCCCCACCACATCCATGTGCACAAGTGCAAGTAGGGTCTTGGCTGGTCCTGTAGTGCTGTTGAAGGGGAACTTGGAGAACTTGGTCTCCAAGCATGTAGAGCAGCTCCCAATCTCCTTCACTCCCCCTTTCACCTCCAAGCCCTTCAAGCTCCCATCCTTCACCAACTTCTGCAGCATAGGGAAGTTCACATGACACAGCCTCTCATGCCATGTCTCCCAATCGGCCTCTCCACTCCTTGATGAAGCCTTAGCCCATGCCGCACTCGCATCCACACCAGCAAGCACCTCACCATGTGTTTGCTGCTCTTTCTTGAATGCTTCCAGGACCCCATCAGTTGGTGCAGTTGCATCTCCTCCTGCTGTTGCCTTTGCCGCTGCTGCCGTTGCTGCTGTTGGAGTCTTCCCATTCCAAGGGATGATGGGCAGCTGCCACAGGTCCTTGATGCAGCTGGTCTCCTCTTCCAGATTCCTCAACACGTTCTTCCCAAGCTTAGCACGGCAGCTGGTTGGTCCAAAGGTCACTTCGGCCTTGCTCTTCTGCAGTCGTCGCACAGAGAGAAAGCAGACAAGCCTTCAACTAGCAAAACATTCCCAAGCCCCACAAGCTCCCCATTAGCTCCCTTAACCTTGGCATTTCCAACACCAATCACAGGGAGCAAAGCACCTGACGCTGCTGCCACATACTTGATCTTCCCAGGGGGTTTTACCTCATCAAGCAAATCTGCCCGTGGGGTCATGTGACTGGTGCAACCCGAATCAATCACCCAGTGCGTGAGAGGGTGCATCACAACCTTTCCCACAGATCCCACATCACCCTCATGCCCATGCACATCTTCAAACATGAGAAACATCCCAGGATAGGCATTACTTTGTGCACCTTCACCTAATGCACCTGAGCCTTGCACAGCGCCACCTTGTGCGCGTTCACCACTGGGCGGCTTCATGCCTGGAGGTGCCCATCCCTCCGGCCTGCTGAAGCACTTGAACCAAGGATGCCCGACCTTCTTGCAGTACCAGCAGGTGCCCTCCATTCTGGTACTCCCCCTGCCACTGGAGCTCCCATGCCCTTCATTATAGTCACCTCGGCCTCTACCTCTGCCAAAGCTCCTCCCACGGCCTCGACCTCTCCAACCCCCTCTTCCTCTACCGCGCCCTGCAGCTCCATACCCCTCAGCAGTTTTAGTGGAAGCACCACCTCCCACATGGCGTCTGCGGAAATCCTCCTGCAGAATCTGCTGCCTGAGCCACTCAGGTGTCCATTGATCTTGCTGAGAGTTGAGGGTGGGGATGAGGTTGTCCCAAGAGTTGTCCAACACCGAGATGATCTTGGTGCACTGCTGCAGCTGAGATACACTGCTGCCCGCTGCTGCCATCCTTGCATAGGTGTCCTTGATCTTGTCAAGGACCGGCTTCACATCGTCCCCTGGTCGCATGGAGATGGCAGCAAGTTCCTTCTCGAGCACGATCACCATCGGGAGAGTGTTGGGCTGAATCACATCGCGTAGTAGTTTCCACGCCCTTGGATCCGAATCATCCGCTTCCACAAGATCCTTGATGTGCTCGAACATCTCCTTGTTGACCGATTGAAGGATTAGGTCGAAAAGCACCGCGTTTTTCTCAATCCACCGTTCGCGTGCTTCGCCTTCTTCCGGCATCTTCTCTTCCCCAACAGCAATCTTCAGTAGCTTGTAGCGTTTGAAGGCACTCCTCATCCGTCCGCTCCATTCCTCATAGTTGGAGCCATCCAAAGCTTCAACTTTTGATGGCGGCGGCTCACTTGTCTTCTCAGCTACAGCTCCTCTTCCATTAGCATCTCCTCCTCTCTCATTCATCTTCTCCTTGAGAAATGACGAATTTCAGCTCCCCTTTGCTGTCCACACTTAGCTCCCTCGATATTTTCACAAGTGTCGGCGTCCACGAAATTTCGGCAGAGTTTCCCCTTAGCGGAAGACACATCCAACCTTTAGAACACCACTTAGGCACGCCCACAGGCCATGGTGGGTCTAGAAGGGTCTTCAAACTTCAGTAGACTCCTCTCAATGTCCTCAATATTGCTCTGATACCACTTGTTAGTTTTAAGGATGGAGTCTAGGTGAACTTAGGAGCTAGAATTACTCAAAATATAAATCCGAAATTCTGGACAGAAAAGTCGTCTTCACAAGAAACAACGTCGACAAAACATTAGCCGTTGGAATAACGCGAACCTCGGATATGTTGTAGCTCTTAATTTCAGCTACCGTTTCCAATTTGAATCACGTTCATTGACGAAGTATTCGCGACGCTATGGCTTTCGACGCATTAGGGGGTAAGCTGTAGGAGGAGAACTTAACTCAATCTCAAAAGTTCAATCAAAGTTCAAGAAATCTCACAAGGAATTAGAGGAGCAAGAGAAAGGTTGGGATAGGAAGAGAGGGACGAGAGGGAAGGTCCTAAGAGAGTCCCCAACCAAGGAAACCCCATAAGCACAAAGATTCCCTCCCTATAGGAACCCCAACTTTGACATTTGTCCCTTCCCAACCAATCCATCCAAGTTGGCCACCCTTGCCAACCTAGCTTGGTGGTTCCCAACCAATTTGCAGCTGTTACAGTAGAGTGACAAATTTCCCCAACCCCCAAAGGTCCCAACTCCATATAAAGTCACCCCACAACTTCACTTTGTAACCGCCGCAATTGTAACGCAAGCTCATGAACTTTGAATCTTCATAGCTTTCGCGTTCTTGCTCCGATTGAAGCGATTCTTGTTGCGTCGGAAAGATCTTCTCAAGATCTATCATCACAAATACCTGCTCAAACAAAAATAACACAAAACACGTTCCCCAACTCCAGAACACACCACACAAATTCTTTCACACGTTCAAACCACACATCCGAATTGAAAACATGAAATGGGAGGCAGACAGAATGTGATAGCATATGATGACATCACACAACAGTCTGGTGTCTCTCACGCCACTCCCTTTTCCTTAGATGGGCCTGTTAAGGATTCTGCTAACTCTGGAGGCCCCGTGGCTGTGGGTGCGCTTGCCGCCACTATGGAGCCCCTCCCCTCAGCCCTGGTGCCCCAGGCACCTCAGCAGCCTCCCCCTCTACCACCGCAGTAGCAGCTGCAGCAGCCACCGCAGCAGCAGTAGCAGCAGCAGGCACAACAGCAGTAGAGGGAGACTGTTGCCTCTGAGGGTACTTGTTCTAGGGGTGTTGGCTTTGGGAGTGCTAGCTCTGAAGGTGCTGAATCTGAGGGTGCTAGTCCTGGGGGTGCTGGCGCGCAGAGTACTGGCGGTGGTGGGGCTAGGGATTTTGGCATGGGTCGGGAGCAGCAGCAGCAGCCGCCGCAGTCTTTGCTTTGTCTCCTTGGCCTTCCCACCGGTTCCCCTGGCCGACCACCCATCCCTCCTATTGTGCCCGACCGTGTTTACGGCCCGCTGTTCCCGATCCCGGACTCTTCTCCGGCTCGTTTCCCCCTTGCTCTCCTCCGTCCCCTCTCCTGTCCCCCGCTCCCCCACGTCCCCGGTCCCCCGTCCTTCCCCACTACAGTAGGTCCGTTGTCCACCTGGTGGTCGTCATGTCTCTCCTTGTGCTAATGTCCACCCCATGGTCCTTCATCTCGTGCTCCTCCAGTCCTTGTCCTGCCGTTATCTCCCCAATCGTCGCTCCCGCTGTCCCCTGCTCTGCTCTCAAAATCCGCTCGCACTGCTCATCCGGTCGTCTCTTGCTTGCTTGCGTCGCTTGTCACTGACTCTACCGCTCATCGTGAGACTGTCTCGGCTTTAGTCGCTGCTGTCGTTGACTTTACTGCGAGCCACCGCCTTGACTACGCTTCTGCTCTGGTCTCTGATCGTGCTTGTCCTCCGTCCGTCGGGGGTGCACCTGCGCTTGGCAATGACGTTATAGAGGATAGGCAGTATGAGTTAATATTCCTTGCGGGTGCTGTACCTCATTTCTGCGTCATGCTTGTGTTCCCTGAGGGTGATCCGAATGACCTGGACATCCCTATCCCGCGCTCTTACGCTGAGGCGGTCTAGCGTGCCTGGGCAGCCCAGAGGATACATGCCATGGAGGCAGAGATGGCAATTTATAGATCCACTGTACTTATGTCAATGCTGTTCCTCCGCCTGGAGCGAGCATAGTCAATGGCATGTGGATCTATAAGGTGAAGCGCCCGCCTAGAGTGCCGACTGTGTTCAAGGCACGCTATGTTGCTAGAAGTTTTTGTCAGCGAGAGGGTGTGGACTCCTTTCAGACCTTCTCCCCTACCCTGAAGATGACTACTCTTCGGGTGCTCCTTCACCTAGCTGCACAGCGTGACTACAAGCTCCACTCCATGGACTTCTCGATAACCTTCTTGCAGGGCAGCCTTCATGAGCAGATCTACCTACGATGCCCACTAGGCTTCACTTGGTCCTTCCCACCTAGGACCCAGTCGAGCCTACGCTGCCGTGTCTACGGTCTGTGTCAAACGCCTCGTGAGTGGCACGATACGCTCCACAGTACACTCGCCGCTCTTCAATTCTTTCCATCCTCTCTTGACCCCTCGCTCTTTGTTCGTACCGATCAGACTCCGTTCTACATACTTGTGTACGTGGACAACCTCATCTTTGCTACTCCTGACAAAGTCGCACTGGCCTTTGTGAAGGCCGAGCTGCTCAGGTGACACGCCTGTACAAACCTCGCGATCTGCGGCACTATCTAGGCTTAGAGATCTCTTGTGACTATGCTGTGCGCACGATCACACTCTCTGAGTCCCACATGGTGCAACAGATCCACTTGTGGTTCAGGCTTCTGTTCTTTTCAGCACAGCCCACCCCTCTGCCAGTGGATCACAAGCTCTCTGCTCCTGTTCCGGCTTAACCGACCGAGCCCAGTGGTCCATACGCAGAGCTGGTGGGGTGCCTCATATACCTGATGACGTGCACTCAACCAGATCTAGCGTACCCTCTCAATATCCTTGCTCACTTTGTTGCAACTCATAGACACCAACCAGAGCACTGGTCGGCTGCCAAGAGGGTGGCACGGTATCTGGCGAGTACATCAGGACTTGGGCTTGTGCTGGGAGGATGACAACTAGTGGTCCTCACTGGACACACAGACGCGTCGTGGGCTGATGACTTGGAGACACCTAGGTCCTTACAGGGCTACTGCTTTAGTCTTGGTGCAGGTGCTGTCTTGTGGAGGTCCACTAAGTCATCGTCTGTATCTCAGTTCCTTTGTAAGGCAGATGTCTACGCTGGTGCCATGGCCACTTAGGAGCTTCGCTAGTGGATGTTCTTGCTCACTAATTTAGGTGAGCGACCTAGCTCTACCTCGATCATATTTGCTGATAACAGGGACATGATCCTCTTATGTCAGGAGGCTAGACTTGAGGGCAGGGCAAAGCACATCCAATTGCAGTACTTCCTGCTACGTGAGTTACGACAGTGTGGTCAGGCTCTTGTAGTACAGTTGGCCTCACAGGCCAACATTGCTGATATCTTCACCAAGGCCCTAGGGCCTCATGACCATCAGCGGTTCTGTACCCAGCTTGGCCTACTCTCAGCTGCTGCTCCCTTGCTTGTATCTTGATCTATGCTATACCAGCTCTGTACTTGCTACTCTATTCCTGCTGTCTTGTTACACTTGCTGACTCACCTTTTGGCCCCCTGTCTCAGTGGTGAGACTAGTAGTGCTGCCCTGAGCTGTTTTGTTTCATACTCTAGAGGCCAGACTACTAGTGCTGCCCTGGTTTTCTGTTTCTTGTTAGGCACTGCCCCCTACCAGGGCTAGGGGGTATGTTAATATTCATATATATATTAGGAACATAAGAACTTTAGCATAGCTAGGGTTCAGACCAATATGGGGTACAACAGTTTTGCCTTGCATAGTCATACTTTTTCTCGACATCTACCAGCGCCCCTGCCACTGGCACCGCAGCCGCCTCCGCTGTCACTCGCCCCTAGTCCCCGGTACCCAGCTCCTCGTTTCCATAGCTCCTAGCTGCCTCCTACCGGGTCTGCCTTTGGACCTGCTGCCGGCCCTCCCGCCGCTGCGGCCATTGGATCTGTCGTCGCCCGCTGTCCTCGCTAGCTCCCGCCCCTGTCCAGGTACGTGTGGCGTGTGTTTCTCATGTTGGCATGGCGGCGCCGCTAGCATCAGTGTTTGTCCTTCAGCTGGATGCTGAAGGTCGTGCTGTCAGTTTCTCGGCATGGCTTCTTGCTCTCCGTCAGCAGCTGATGAGCCAGCGTGTGGACGGCGAGTCGCTGGAGGCCCATGTGACTGGTGAGCTGCCTCCCCCTCCCGCCCGGCTTCCCTTGACCCCAAGGGGACGTCGGCTCAGCGTGCGAAGAACACAACTGCCATGATCGCCCTCTCCGTCTGGCGGTCTCGCGATGTCGCTGCGCTGGTGGCTAGCACAAGGTGCATGCCGGTTGATGAGCATGCCCATTTTAAGTCGCTGGAGATGGTTCTGCCCCTCTAGGAGGTGATTGTAGCCCACTACTCGACCCCGTCCTCAGCCAGTCTCGGCCGCCTCCTCCTCCCTTCCTTCTTCTCCGACCTGGCCTCCTACTCCATGGTTGCAGATCTTGTCGTGCACCTGCGCTCCCTCGAGGTACACTACTATGTGGCCTGTTTTGAAGCCCAGCTCCAAGCACACCCCCAGCCCACCTTTGCCACCCTTTACTTCCTCACTACCCGTCTCCCTGACCGCCTTGCTCCTGCATGTGGCGCCCTTCTTGCAATGCACCCCACAACCCTCATCATCGACCTCTTTTCCGACTCCCTGACGGAGGTCAAGACTCGCCTCCGCGCCATCGCCAAGTCCACTCGCGCAGTGGGAGCCACTATCTTTCAGGGCTGCCCTCCGCCCCAGTTCCCTGTCCCTAGCACCTCCACCTCTATCGTTGAGACCGTTGCAGCGGCCACTGCACCCAGCCGCACTGCTCAGCGCTCGCGGCACCCTAGTGGTCATGGGGCCTTGGTAGCGGCAGGAAGTGGAGGCACTGGTGAGGCCTGGGGAGCTAGCGAAGG